GAGAGACAACTTTTCTTACAATTTTCACTGTAAAATCATTGGATAAATTCATTTCGCGCCGATCGCCATAGCCGCTGCAAACGACAACGAAAAATATTTCGGGAAAAAAAAAAAAGAAAAAAAAAAGAAAATCTTCGTACGAACGTCCTTCCACGTTTCTCTCGTGCACGCACATACGCATACACGTACACATAAACTCGTACATAATAAACATACACATTTTATTAAATTATATTTGTACTTCTTGCGTTCTTGTATTACATTTTTTATCATACTTATTATAATATTAGGTTTAATGTTTAATTAAAAGCAAATATGCTTTTCTCGAAGCATTGATTGATATCTCTTCGTGCAATTTATATTTTATTAGTCGGAAATCGATTGCAGCGGCAATAATTCCGAAATCGAAAGAAGAGATATATACACGTGCACACACATACATAAATACATACATACACACACACACACACATACCGACATGTAACATTATTGTCCATCGTCGTCATCATCATCATCATCATCATCATCATCATTATTATCATTATCATCATCACCCTGCTTCTCCAAAAAATATAATTTACGAGCTAAGTTCTTAAGATTAACTTCATTTTCTCTTTCTTTATTTCCTTTTATTTTATTTTCTTTTATTTTTATCTCTTTCTTTTTTTCTTTCGTCTTTTTTATTTAAGTGACAATGCAAAGTTTGATCTCTTACTCTGGTACATACACACGTCATTATATATATATATATATATATATATATATATATATATGTATGTATATATATAAGTATTAATTAGGAATGTTATTAATCAGGTAAAGCGTAGCGAAGCGCTCTCGTTGCGTTTGGATTTTGCTTTCCTTGTAAAAACGACGACAATGAGGAAAACCGTGTCGTTTATGTCGATCTTCAGCGTATTTGCTGGATTGTAATATCGTAATATGTATGTATCGTTCAAACAATCGACACGGTTAAAAATATGCATGCTTAAAAGAAAATTCAAACAAAATGATTCTTTACAAAACACAGACATAAAAAAAGAAACTCTATCTCATTAACTTGTAATGCGTTCTCGCTATGTGCCATCGAGCGAAAACGCGAATGTCTTTGAATTTTCTTTTTTTCTTTCTTTCTTTTCTTTTTTTTTTTTTTTCTTTTTTTTTTCTCTCTTTTTTTAAAGGTACTGCGCTCCGACTTGATTGAAAAATGAAATATAAAATGCTGCTTGTGACAGTTCGAAAAAAAAAAGAAAAATACAAAAAAAAAAAAAAAGAAAAAAATATTAAATATTTCAAACAGCAATGCCTTATGTTCTTTGAACATTCGTCCCTTCCGCTCTCACGTTGTAATTTGCGAAAAGAGATAGATCGAAATGAAAGAGAGAGATTGAGAGAAAGAGAGAGAGAGAGAGAGAGAGAGAGAGAGAGAGAGAGAGAGAGAGAGAGAGAGAGAGAGAGAGAGAGAGAGAAAAGAAAAATGATTTGAGACACATTTTCATTGATAATCGAGATTTGTAAAATATTATGATGACGTGTCCGATGCTTTTAAATATTTTACGCACGAGAAAAATGCAAAATTTTTGTGAATGACGAGCCGAATTCAATCGAATTGACGAATTGAAGTCGAACTCGTACGATTACGATCGACTACGTATTAAAAGTAATTGTTAAAAACATGCAAGAACTGGGTCTGTTCTATTGCCTTAAAAGGATGCCGCTTTTGTTCTGCATAATATGTGTTATTCCTTTTTTTTTTTTCTTTTTTTTCCTTATTCGTTTCTCTTTCAAAAGATTTCATTCAAAAATTCGAACTGTTTTGTCATCTATTCTTTTATTACAATCGGCAATGATCAATATCTCGAGATATCGAGAGAAAAAAAGTGTGTTAGCTAACAGGTGGTCTTATATTGGAATGACATTGTTCTATAGAAAATTCTTCGAGCGATGGCTCGATTAAAGGATAATGTTAAAAACGATTCATTTTATATCGATCTTTGGACTATCTTTAACCCTTAAAAGCTATCAGAGGAAATGATAAAAAGAAATAATACGATTGTGAAAGTTTATTATTATTATTATTATTATTATTATTATTATTATTATTATTATTATTATTACTACTACTATTAATATTATTATTATTAATATTAATATTATTATTATTTAAAATTTAGATGAAAAAAAAAAGAGAAATTAATCTGCGTTTGTGTGTGTGTGTATGTTTGTGTGTGTATATGATACTGGTGGGTTATTAAAAATAGTTTGAAAAAGGGAAAAAAAGAAAATCAGTGTTAACTATCGTCAATTAAAGATTTAATTTATTAAAAGGAATATTCACTCGGTGGAGTGAAATTTCATATCCGATGATAACTTTTAAAGGTTAATAATCCTTGACATTCGCGCCGAATAAACACCCATCTCTCACTTTTTCCTACTTTTTCTTTCGTTCTTTTTTTTTTTTTTTGCAGCTTTTTCGCACGAAAATACGTAACTGGAGTCGACGATGATACTACATCTCTCTGGGCGCATTAGTGTGTAAATAACTGGATAATAATTATGGCCGCTTGACGCACGAGATGCGCTATGCGAAGAGATCGTTGGATAAAATGTTCCTCCGAAATCGAGGTCATAAATTCTATTGCCATGTTATATCCACGTGGAGAATTCATTTTTACATTTTAAAAAGAATATATTTCTTGTCGTTTCGTTCTTTTCTTTAAATATTTTTTTTTTTTTTTTTTTTTTTTTTTTTTTTATACGAAATTTAAAATCCTTTTGTTTTTAATGGGAGAACAATATTCAAAGTTTGATGCGCGCGAACTTTCGAATAAACGTCGAAACAGATAAAAGTAATAAAGCTAAATAATAGAAAATACGAAGGAAAAGTTTTAACAATTTATTGTATTATTTCTATCAGATAAAATTTTATACTTTCTATATAAATGTTAAACCAATGATTATTTTATCATCATATATGATACTTCGTTATAGTTGATTAATAATGGAAAATTTTCGAAAAATTTCTATCGGGCTACAATTATCTGGCAACTGACTTTTCCGGGTCGGATGTATTTTTAATCCTTCCATCGAGATGTGGTTTACGACTCTGACGTCAAACAGCCAAAGCGTAGATGATTTGCACACGGATACTTCGGCAAATCGCCAATACAAAGATCGATCGATCACGATGAGTCTCCTCTAGTAGTTGCTTTTTGACGGGTTAAACTAAATGGCATCGTCTTTTTTTCTTTTTTTTTTTTTCAACAGATTATCAGATATAATCTATTGTCGTTTCGACTGTCTCTTTTCTCTTTTTTATTTTCTTTCTAGACGTTAATATTTTTCATTCGAATGATTATCATCATACGGATATATCGTTAAATTTCATTAAAAAAAAATTCGATCGTTTGATCAATTAGCCTGATTCGTATTCGAATCTAAGACGTTATAATATTTTACGTCTTCTTTGAGACGAGAGAGAAGAGAGTCCGAGTTCTCGCTCGAACAATGATCCCGAAATGTTTCCGTACTCGTCGGTGGGTAAACCGGTCTTTTAAGAGGCAAGCGAGGAGATCGAACTCATGACACTGTTCCTGTCTCTTCGTACCGACCACTTATTTTCGGTTCGTACGAATTCAATGGCAAGCGACGTTTGGCCATTTGCCAATGGTGCCTCGACTAATCACCGTTGTTCTATCTTCTAAATAGTCATCTATCCTGTTAAAGTTCCTTTGAACTTTGTCAACCAAATGACGAAGTACGGAAGAAATATGATTTGGCTGTAATGAGTCACGCCAAAGGACACGTGTAATATTTTCCACTGACGAGGAACCTTAATAGATCACCATTTTACGTATAATTAATACCTAACGTGTATCTAATGTCTCAAATATGTTAAAACCTTTTTCTCTTTAAAAAAATTTACAAATGATGATTATTCGTACATCTTTTTACAATTGAAAGGAAAAAAAAGAAAAGAAAAAAGGAAATATTCTTTATTTAAATAAAGAAGAAGAACAAATAATAATAATAATAATACAACGATGAGTATTAATCAATCTGATATTTTCATGGTAAAGAGAAATTTTATTGCACTTTGAATTTACTTTGAAATATAAATCGATCGATGTCATAAAGTTTCAAATGAATAGTAATTGAGTTTAACGCACCGCGGCGCTACTCTCGCCGGATATATTTTATGACGCCATGAAACGTACCTTAATGTTCTTGATCTATTGATCGTTTCATATATCGTCTAGTTTATTAGGAATACGAGAACATTATTAAAAATGAAATAAGGTTTATTATCGAGATATGTCATTTAATAATTTCTTTATATATTTCTTAGGTTTTTTAAAAATTATCGACAATTATTCTTGCAACATTCTCATTGGCTATTCCTTTAGTCTACATAATAAAGACCAATAAGCAAACGCGACATTTTCTGTTGCGTTATAAATGCATTCGAATAATCGTCATGTAATTGTTTTAAAGTAGATTTTATTTATTTTAAATGTTTGTTACGATAAGTCAAATAATAAACAAATATATCTTTTATCGATATAGATAAAAATAAGTTTTTCATACATTTAATCTAATATTTTTATGATATTATTTTTCTTAAGCAAACGTAAATCTCACGTTTAACCAATCATAAAGTGTTTGTTAAAGACGTTTTGAAGTTATCGAAACTATCTGTTTGATTTTTTTCGGAAATTTAAATGTCTACTAAAACTTTATTTCGTTACGATATGTGAATATCTTATTATCATATAAAAATAATTTTTTATTTATTTTTTTATTTATTTTTTATATTTATTCATATATATTGAAATATATACAATTTTCTTTGGCTCTCTCTTTTTCTCTCTTTCTATTAAAGTAGTTATTCAAAATTGTTAATAACTTTAAATTATAAACATTCTGTGATTTGTTTATATAAGTTTTAAAATTTAATACTCGAAGAAAAATGCATTAGAAATTCATGGAATTAATAAGTCTAATTAAATATAAAAATGATCACAGTATTAATTATTATTTGTATATACGGTTCATTAGCATTAGAAGGAAGCGAAGTTCTCAAAAATCTAGGAGAAAAACAATACACATTATTAACAAGTATGTCATATGATTTGCTATAAAATTTTTTTTTTAATATTTTTAAATAAATTTCTTTTTTTACAGCTAAATCATCTTTACCACAACATGGATTATGTTGGTATAATGCACTTAAATCAATCAAAAATAGTTGTGAGACTTTGAATGATAATGAACATTCTCTCTTAGCTTTAAAATTAGCTAATTGTTTTTTGGAGGATTCTGGTCATACCTCTTATGATTGCCATCTTAGTAAATCAGAAGATATTCGAAAGTAATTTCTTGAATGATTTATAAATTGAATCATTAATTTTCCAAATATATTTATAAGAATATTTGCAACTTTTTTTGGTTTTTGTTTTTTTAGAGAGTGTATTAATCAAATGTCAGATAGAGCATTCAATGTATATAATGAATTTTATACACATACAACACACATTTGTTTTTATTTAAATTATGAAGCATGGCAGGTGGAAACTGACAATACCATTAAATCGTGAGTATTGAATATATAAAATCGTTTCTTCGCAATGTTTATTTAAATTAAATATAATTTTTAATATAGATTATATAAAGTTTCTTCTCAAATGAAGGAACAGTTATTAGAAGCATCAGAGATGCAAAGTGCGATGTTGGAGAGTCAAAAAGAAGGATTAAAAATTCAAAATGAAATTTTAGATCATGGTAAAGAACTTGGAAATGTATTAAAATCTTCATCTGAAACTGTGAATGATATGGTTATGGAATTTAAGTATGTTACAATAGAATTAAACTCAATAGTATTATTGAGAGAATCCAAAGTATTTATAAAAAATTCTATGGAAGTCTTGTTATATTTTAGAGAATCAGCAAAAGATCAGAAGGAATTACTCTATGAGATTTTTTCTTATATACGTACTTTTCAAAATTGGATTATTGGAGAAGTATCTTGGTTCCAATCCATTATTTATTATACTATCAGTTGTATTCTTTGTGCATTATTTAGTTCGGCTAAAAGAACTGCAGATGCTCGTGTTACACTTTTTACAATTCTTAGTTTAAACATTACAATAGAAAGAATGTTAGTTCAATATTACGACAACGTTATGCATCAATCTACACATGACAAAGTAAAAAATTTGAACATTTTTAACAAGTTAATTTCATATGAATTGGATTATATCTGTTTGATAATATGAATTATATATGTACATATTTTATAATTTTTTTAGGTAGAAATAATATATGTAACTTGGTCAATAAGAAAAATATGTTTAACATTATGTGCAGTTACATTACTATATACTTATTACTATTATAAAGATAAACAATTAGAAAGTTTTCATGTTCTTAGACGAATAGAAAATCGATTAAATAGAATGCAAATAATTACACCTACCAATGGTAATCAAAACCATAATAAGCCTATTCGTAAGTTTATGATTTTTATAAGTATTTGTTATTGTAAAAGTATATTTTTTAATAATAATTATACTTTACAGGTCATTCTGAAAGATTAGCTATTAAACGTTTGCATGCTGCTTCTGTGAAGGAGCATAATTCAAATTGATATTTATATATCATTTTTTAAATTTCTATCCTTTTTAATGAAAAATGCTATTATTTAATATAAAAAATATAAGTAAGTATAATATAATTGTTATAATTAATATTTATTCTAATTTTTAATATTAATGACAGATTTTAGAAACAATCATTTTGAAAAGATATACATATCTTAATTTATTTCTAAATATTTATTTGATATAGTTAATAAACATAAATATAATTATAATTATCGTGTAGGATATAAATTTAATAAATAACCAATTTGTTTAGAAGAAAAATCTTTTGAATTAGGAGTGGGCACTGTTTTTGATCGTGCAATTTTCAAGTTCTTGCTCATATTTGCAAATTTTTGATTACATTGTTCGAACGATAAGAGTTCTTTGTTACAATCAAAATTATCGAACTCTTTTTCTCTAAGACATGTTAAAAGTATTGCCATTTCATGTAAACAACCTTTATCTGCAAAAATAATAAGTTATTATAAAATTATCATAAAATATTTTTAAAAACATATATATATATATATATATAAATCATACTTGATACATTAGATCCTTTATGAGATACATAATTATTTAATACTAAATCACCAAAAACTTTAAGTGGGACTTTTTTTTCAGATTGAGGACGCCGTCCTTTAAAACAAGCAAGACTGAATTTCATTTTTATATTATATTCGAATAATTTTTTCAATTACAATCGAGGTTATATTCTTGTGATACCTGTAAATACGTTTATAGGGAGTAAGGTAATATTCAAATATTATTTATCGAAATTTATATAAAATAAAATTCCTTCTTATGATGTAATAATCCAATAAAATTTGATATTTTATACGTACAAATATAATAAGTAAAAAAAAAAATCAAGATTTATTCTGAAAATTCTTTGGATACTAGATGGCGCCTATGATGCAATTACAATGTGAACAAATCAAAAGTATTATAAATCAATTGAAAATTTTATCAATTAATAATAAAATAATATAAATTTATTTTACAATTAGTTATATATTCTAACCCAAACTAATCCGATCGTTATGTTATATGCGAGACAAGTATATGCTAATCAAGTATATAAACTGATATGATATTGCATGGCTGTGAGAGTGTTGTTCATTTGTGCTTGTAGTTCATATTTTGACCGTACTTGTCGCTGAAGTCACACATTCTTCCAGCGAAAGATAATGAACTGTCTTAAGTGTTTCATGGAATGTATAATATTGAAAAGAGGTCTCTGAGAGAAACAGTTCCTATTATGAACAACTGTTTCTATTTAGTTAGATGACGAAAATGATAACAATCATCATTTTTATTATTGACTTACGTAATTTCTGAATATTTAAACTAAATGTTAAAATGCACTAATAAAATATTGAAAGTTTAATTCCACTAAGAAAAAATTCTGAATCTCAAGAATTTACATAAAATTCTTAAGAATTATATTACGATTAAGACTTAACATAAATGAAAGTCAAGAGAATCATCGGATGATATTGACAAGTCGTAGATTCTTTTTTTTTTTTTTTTTTTTTTTTTCCATTAACTAAGTAAAGATGGAGGATTTCTAAACATATGTGATGATCTTCTGATCGATCAGTCTGCCGCACGTGCTGTAGCTGTGCGGATTGTTTGAACTTAACCTTAAAATTTTTATCGCTGTAAATTTTTCGTTTTGGTAACAGAATATATTATAGATTTTTCCTTGCGAAAAATAATATTATAAAATTAAAAAAAATTTTAACGGGATACTTTTGATAATATTTGACGTCGATCGTGTAAAGTTAATTTCTTAAAATGGCGAAAATCAAAAGAAGTAAGTACATATATGCATTTAAATATATGTATCGCAAAAAATTAATTACATTTAAGAATTATCTTTTATGATCACTTACAACGTTTAAGAATTTAACGATATAAATATATATATATATATATATATATATATATATATATATATTAATTGCTTCTTGGAATAGAGTTATTTAATTCATTAATATGAAATCATGTTAAAATAATTTATGTTACTACTGATTTGAATTACAAATCCGAGATGTTCTTATGATCGTAGAAATATTAGAGAATGAAAATTGTTAATTCATTTCCTTTCAATAAATATAATTATAATTTATTTAATACGTATAAAACTTTCTGAACGAATTAGAACTTTTTAATGTATTTTACGATGTTCAGATATATATCTATATACATGTACGTATGTATGTGTATGATGTATGTATGCGCGCGCGTGTGTGTGTGTGTATATAAGAAGTTGTGATATTCGAGATAAAATCGTATGACTGTACGATTTTACTTTTTTTTTTCTTTTCTTTTCTTTTCTTTTTTTATACCTTAACCGACAAACACATACTAGTTATAACATACAACTGAATAAGATTCCTGTTTAATCTCTCAAGAATCTTTTCTGTTGGATTATACATCTTACAATATCATATTTATCATTACCATCATACCAGTAACAAGAAAGAAAGGGACAGAGCCATCATTTCTTGACTCTCAATAATTTTTTGGACTATTAGCCATTACGCAAATATTTTCGTGAAAATATGATGGAAAAAAAAAAAAATTAAAAAAAGAAAAAGAAATGTTTCGAAGAAAATCATGAATTTATATATTTAATCATGTGAAAGGAATACTTCCATTATCGTGAATAATTCGTATTACTTTTAACTTGTAAAGTAGGTCTGTCCAATGGATTTTTACAATCGCTTGAAGGTAAACTCGTGAAAGAATATTGTGCAAGTATGATACAATCCTTTTTTCCAGTCGTATCAACATGGCAGACTTGAAAGGGAATCTTTCTTACTTGCTATATATATCATTATTAAATAAATAATATCTAATAATATTTATATGGAAATATGTTAATATGATTTTATATTAATATCAATTATTATTTATATTAAATATAAATTATTGGAAAATAATGTCACATTCGTAGATTTATAACATTCATAGAAATATCTATGTATGTATATACATATATCGTAATCACAATAATATCAATGTGATGTGTCACGCCACCCATCACGCAAGTTAATTGGACGATTAACTTATTACTTACAACTCGTACGCAAAAAAAATGTATATATATATATATATACATTTACAATACATTACATATAATATATATATATATAATATTATTATATATAGACAGAAAAAGATATCTATTAATATTAATAAAAAAGAACAATGAATTATCCAATATATATATATATATATATATATATATATATATATATATATATATATTGAGTTAACATATCGTCTTTAAAGAATCAAACAATATTTGTCAATTTGATAAAATTTTCGATAATCAGGAAAAATGAGGAAAAAAATAATTTCACCGATTATGGAGCGTAATGAAAAAAATACTTATTTTTATTTTTTTTATTTTTTTTTGTTTTTTTTTTGTTTTCTTTTTTTTAACACTAATTAACGTATTTTAATATATTCTTGGTATATCACTATTTCCACTATATACTTCATGTTGTAATCTTTTGGTTAAAAGGAAAGAATAATGGGAAGATAAAATAAAAGAAAGGAGGGGCCAAGGTAACGTGTAAAATTTTAACTTACGAATATATTTACTATCGATCGTTGTCTTTCATATTGAAACTCTTGAAGGAAATCGAACTTCGCTTAATGTTGATTAAGTATCATTCTTTGATATAATAAATAATTAATTGACCGACTTTTTACAAATTATTAGCCATATTATATCATATTTTAACACATTGTGTATTTTATGGATTTATAAAAGTTTTAACATTGGTCTTGTAATACGTAAAAACGAACATCGATCGTAACACGAATATATAAATAACGTTTTAGGATTCATAATCTCTCTTAATTTATTGTAATAATAGTTAATACTGATGCTATGATAATTAATACTGAGGAGTGTGTTAAAACTGTATTTAAAAAAAGAAAAAAAAAAATTGTAAAAAGGAAACAAAGAAAAAATGATTTCTCTACTTTCATGTGTATCTTTTAACATATATCAAGGTTACTCGCCACATTGATATATTGTAAGTATTTATACAGGGTGTCTTAAAAGTCACTGTATGTGTTTTATATTGTTTTATATTTCAAGGTAAATATTATAAAGAATTATTATTATTTATATATCCTCGTCTTCGATATTCGTCTCTGGAGATCTCAAATATTTAATATATTAGATGATGCGATACGAGCCGATAATCCGATATTTTCCTGAGATTTTCTTGATATTCCATTTCTATTGTTATCACGTTCGTTGGTGATACGAATCTAGAATAGAAAATTTATAAATTGTAAAAAATTGTCGATATATCTATTAACTTTTCTTTTGTTTTGAAAATACACAACACAAAAGTACATATCTTTATCGAATTGTAGCATTTCTTTTTTCTAAAAGGAAAAGAAAAAAAAAGAAAACGTTACTAAAATAGATAACGACTTTAGAAACATCCTGTATGTGACGATGATGCAAGAATTCGTTTCTTCATTTTTTTTTTCTTTTTCTTTCTTTTTTTTTTTTTGTTTTTTTTTTTTGTTTATTCGTTCTCGCAACAACGTAAAACGAACATTTGTCAGATTCTTTTTCGTTGATATTGCACGTAATTTTTATTTTAAATCGTATCATAATTTAACTAAATATGTATGCTACGAGTAAAGATTTTTAAATCGATTTGGACAATGCTAATATAAGAATTTGTTTAATAAATCAATTAAAAATTTTTTTCATATATTTCTATATTATTATTTATCATGCCAATATTTTGTATTAATAAAAATACCGTAAATGCTGGTTTGAACTTTTATTTATTTTTTATTAATCACTTTACGAGCGTACAATTTTTAGATGTAATGTTACAAATTTAAAACAAATACATTGTTGAAAAATTCTTTATGTTACATAGTACGTTAACTCGTCAAACTCGTTGAAATATCTTGTTGAACGTACATTATTATCGGTCAAATTGCCAGTCATTGCTTTCGTAAAGAGGAAGAGAGAGAGAGAGAGAGAGACTGAGCGCGCAAGAGAGAGAGGAAGATCGAGTGAGTGAGTGAGCGAGAGAGAGAGAGAGAGAGATCACGTGGCATATGTGCGTACATACGTAAATAATTCATGATCAATATGATGTGATCGTAACGTAAATGCATACATAATTATGAATATTAAAATATCATTATTTTCTTATGCAAAATTCGATGTGATTCGTATTAATGAACCTCGAATGGAGCTTTAATGAATTTGTTACAAGGGTATTAAAGGCATTTGAAAAAAGAATTTATTTCACTATTCCTGTTTCATTTTAAAAACGAAATTTATACGTTAATCAAAAAAAAAAAAAAAAAAAAAAAAAGAATTACCAACTTTTCAAATGTTCCTCGACTATATATTTTCGAATTTGTAAATAAAAATTATTTCTTGTGTTTTGAAAAATAATACAAAATATATTTTATCTTGTATTGATATATTAATTAGATGCTAATAGAAATGTTCGTTTCTTAACTTATTTCATTTTTTACATAACTTATGTAATTTATGTATACTATACTAAATGTAATAGAAAAATCCGGTTTTTTTACATTGTAGATTATAAATGAGTTTCATATCAAAACAATTGATTTACATAAATATATATATTAAGAATTTCTCATTCGAAAATAATTCTATTACTTTATTTTCATATATCGGATTTACGATAATATACACGATATTATCGACGTAACGAATAAACAATGTTTATTATTATTACATTTTCTTCGATGATACGTCATTATAGCTATATTTCGTCTGTAATTTTCTAAAAGTCTTAACGTCTTAAAGAATAATGGATAATAAAGTAATCATGCAATCATATGCTTGATCATGAAAATACGTTTCTAATATTATATCCTGTGCGTTGGGATAATTAAAAACGATGACAGGAATTGTTTGACGAACAAAAGAAAAAGAAAAAAAAAAAAACAGTCATTTACGGTTCCTTGTTAAAATTAATATTTTTCCAAATCGAACGAATTAATAATACATCTTGATTCAAGGAGAATTGAAATTTTTTTTTAATAAAAAATAATAATTTGTTGGTCCGTTTAATAATGTTTCTTTTTTTTTTTTTATTTGGTTGTCGTTTTCTCTCCATCTCTCTCTCTTTTTTTTTTTTTTAATTTCCAATAAATCAGACTTTATTTTATTATAAGTGGTCCTCAAATCAAAGAGAGATATATTTGTATGAGATATTATTATGCTTTTATCTTTATAATCTTTCTACTTTTAGTATCTTGATCGTTCGTGGTTTAGCGAACGATCAAAATACTCAGGTAAGGTTTACGTCTATGCGCATTTTCTTTAGAATAGAGAAACGAACGTGATCTATCGATACTGTCGATCAGTTTGAGTTACGATGTCATACCGTGTAGATGCCCGATAACGTACTTTTTAAAAGGTTTACTTTATTCAAAAAAAAAAAGAAAAAAACCTTTGTCATTGTTAAGTTTACATTTCTCCTTGAGAAATTTCTTTTATATTATCAAAATTATAAACATGTTAAGTAAGTAGAAAAATATTATTATTTCGGTAAAAATAACTCTGCCATCATTTTTTGTACAAACGTAAAACAAGAATATTTTCGTCTTGGATTTTGTTATTGTTGTTATTGTTGTTGTTATTATTATTTCTCTTTTTATTCTTTTAAACTTTCCGAAGTAATAAATATCTACATACGTGAAATGAATTCATGAATTTTATATATACGTGTATATATTCATTTGGTTTCTTTTTTCTTCTCTTTTTTTTCTATTTTTTTTTTATTTTTATTTTTATTTTTATTTTCTTTTTTTTTTCTTTTTTTTTTTTTTTTTTTTTTTTTTTTTTTTTTTTTTTTTTTTTGACGAATGTTCCCGAGATATTTTAGAGGTTTTCTACTTGAACACGTGACAAAAGAATCTTGTCTTTCAATCTTCAGTCTTGTCATTGTCGACATCCTGATTGTGTCAGGATCACGAGGATAGATAAGTGCAATTATGTACGTTCGCTATTACGCTCGCTCTTTCATGTTTGATACATACGAATAAAATGATACGTTATCCGGTAGTTTCGCGTATTAAATTCAATTGGATTGATGATACTAGATACATTTTAATTAGAGTAAAACGCAAAATTTATGAATTAAATAGTTACACTATACTTTTTTTTTTTTTTTTTTTTTCTAACATTTGTCCGATATTGTCTTAGAAACATCTACGGAGGAGAGTCTGCAATTCATCCGACAATCTTTAAAGTCGGATGAAATGGATCACCTCGAAGGTACCCATTTTGATAGACTTTTACCACACGTGTTTGTGACACTCGGAGCTTCTGTAAGTAAGAAAATACGATTTAGAAAATATCTTAAATTAATTTTGAAATTTATACTATTTGAAAAAAAGAACTTTGGGAATGAACGTTCCATATTGCATAGGGTGATTTAGCGAAGAAAAAGATCTATCCGACGCTTTGGTGGCTTTTCCGAGACAATCTTTTACCAAAAACAACGACATTTTTCGGTTATGCCAGAAGCAACATGACTGTTAAACAATTGCGAGAAAAGTGTCATCCCTATATGAAAGTTAAACCAGATGAGGAATATAAATACGAGGAATTTTGGAAATTGAATTATTACGTTAGCGGTTCCTACGATTCGGAGGAACATTTTAAGTTGTTGAACAGTGAACTGCAAAAGCAAGAACAAGTCTCGATGGCCAATAGACTTTTTTATTTGGCTTTGCCACCCACCGTTTTTGAAACGGTTACCGTGCACATTAGGAACGTTTGTATGGGACAAAAGTAAGCCTATTTTTTTTTTTTTTAAGTTGCATCAGAATTACGTAAACGTTCGATATTGCGGTGCTAGATGATGCCTTTCTTTTAGAGGTTGGACAAGAATTATCATAGAAAAACCATTCGGCCGAGATGCGCTTTCATCGAAACGTCTTTCTGATCATCTTTCATCACTTTTCAACGAAGAACAGATTTATCGGATAGATCATTATCTTGGGAAAGAGATGGTTCAAAATTTAATGACTTTGAGATTTGGAAATAGGATATTTAATCCAAGTTGGAACAGGGATAACATAGCTTCCGTACAGATATCGTTTAAGGAACCATTTGGTACTCAAGGAAGAGGTGGATATTTCGATGAATTTGGTATAATTAGGGATGTAATGCAAAATCATTTGCTGCAGATACTCTCACTCGTTGCAATGGAGAAACCTGCCTCGTGTCATCCAAATGATATTAGGTTAAATATTAATATACTTTTTAATAATCTTATTTGTAAACAGAAATTTTATTATAATACGTGGAAATTTTTATCATAGTTCGCACATTTTGCTACATGTACACATTACCGTTGTTTTATTTTCAGAGATGAGAAGGTTAAAGTCTTAAGATGTATAAAACAATTAGAATTGGACAATGTAGTTTTAGGACAATACGTGGGAAATCCAGAATCGAACAACCCCGAGGCCCAATCAGGATATTTAGATGATCCTACGGTACCAAAAGGTTCAAACACTCCAACTTATGCATTAGCGATACTAAAGATTAATAATGAACGATGGGATGGCGTACCTTTTATTCTTCGATGTGGGAAAGGTGAAACAATTTTGTAAAATTTTTTTTTGAAATTTACCGCTCCGCTAAGAGTGGTTCGTTAAGGATGCTTCACTAAGGGTAATAGTAGTTTTTTATTGTACAATAAAATTTTGTTATACTTTTAGCTCTGAACGAACGTAAGGCCGAAGTTAGAGTTCAATATCAAGATGTACCCGGTGATATATTCGATGGTAAAACAAAAAGAAACGAATTGGTTATAAGAGTACAACCTGGCGAAGCATTGTACGTTAAAATGATGTCAAAATCACCTGGTATTACGTTTGATATGGAAGAAACGGAATTAGATCTCACTTATGGTAATAGATACAAGGTGAATGTATATTTTTTATTGTCATTTACATATATGGTATTTTATAATCATTGTTTCTTTTTCTTCTTCGCCAAAAAGAAAACGATATTGTATTTTATTTTCTTTTCTTTTATTTATTTCCTTTCAAAATAATTTGTAACTATTATATATGTAGGATTTGAAATTACCTGACGCTTATGAAAGATTGATTTTGGATGTTTTTTGCGGATCACAAATGCATTTTGTACGTAGCGACGAACTTTACGAAGCGTGGAGAATTTTTACACCTTTGCTACATCAAATTGAAAATGAGAAAATACAACCGATTCCTTATAAGTGAGTCTTCCTTATATCAATTTTTTAATTTTTCATTAATGCATATTTTTTGTTTTGTTTTCTTTTTTTTTTAACGAAGTGTATAAAAAATTTTTAGATATGGCTCTCGCGGACCAAAAGAAGCCGATGATAAAGCAAAACAAAATAATTTTGCTTATTACGGTTCCTACAAATGGATATCTTCATGAAATAATAAAGAAGATTAAATTTATATCATTGTGAAACTGATAAAAATATAAAAACCAATTTATTCTTATACAATCTGCGATTGTGAGCTATCAAGATTTTGTACAATAATTAAGATGGCATTTCTGTAATTTTGTACACATTATTTATGAAATTTTCTACATTGATGACATATATATACATATATTTTGGTATTACAGAGAGATATTTTCTATTACTTATCTATATATGCACGTATACTCCTATTTATTATATACGAAACTCCTTTCACAAAAACGAGTTTATCTATTTCAGGGTGGAAGATGATACAAAGCTAATTTCTACTTATGTCATACTTTTATTAAATCTTGACAATTTAAACATTGTGCCAATCACTTGAAATATAGATAATATACATCAGTTAAACAACATAAATGAGAGAGGAAGAGAGATGTTTATCGGCTTGGCATCGTTCAAATCTAATTAGATAAAGTTTAATCAGATATTTTTGTATCTCAAATTTTTCAAGTCTGTTGTTTTGAATATTATGACAAGCCAATTGTGATGTGTATGTGGTATGATACTATACATTTAAATATAGTGCTATGTTATTTCTCTTCGGCTCTTTCTTTTTTTTTTCCTTTTTTTTTTCTTTTTTTTTTTTTATACAAAAAGATCAATTACATTTGGATTATATAAGTCAATAAAATTTATATATTTTTTATTATTTTTTTTTTTTTGCAATAAACAAAAATGGACTGAATTAATTAAGTTTCTGTAATTGAACATCAATGTTCTAAAACGTTATAATTTTGCATATTGTCATTGTTATAATGGAAAAGGTGGGTACATATAAAACTCATATAAAATATGGAAAGTTCAATTTGGTATAATACATATTGTATATCGGGAAATATATCCGTTGCGTTATTATAAATAAATGTATATAAAGCTAGATGATATAATGTGAAAATATGAAGTGATAAATTGTAATATAATTTCTTAATGTTTAATAATTACATATAGAGAAGAGGATAATATACCCACTTATCAATTAGTATTCAAGAAATAAATTTTGTTGCCATCAACGTTAGAGATTGCATAAATAATACAATGGATAAATATAAATAAAGAAACATAAAATAAGAACTTATGTTGCAATTTATGAACATTCACTCTAAAATTAGCTAGTTTATTCTATAAACATTTGCTATATTAGAGCCATCCATTACAACGTATACAAATTAAAAATAAATCAGTTCATAATCAAATGTTGATATGGCAATGTCTTTGAACACTTTTCACAGTAGTATATGATTTGTAAAAATGTCAAAATTTGATCCAGGTCTATCAATTGATGAAAATACTATTTTTATACTTTACACTTATTTAAAGTTTAAATTTCACAAGCTTCAGGATCTAACAGTTCATCCCAATTAATACTTCTTTGAAACACTTCTTGTTGTAACCATAATTCGTAATGCTGTTTGAATTCTTCTGTTAATTTTACGTTCGTTCCAAGTACAGAAGTAACAGACGTATCAACGGGTTCTAATTCTTCGTCTTTAGGAGCATTGGAATATCGTCGATTATTAAACTGATCAACACAAGTACGTAATTCACATTCCTCAACTTGAAAATCCCATGGTCGTGCTTCTAAATCTATGAAAGAACATATGCATTTTATAAAGAAATGCATATATGAAAAAAAATGAACCTATGCAAGGAACAATAAAATTAATTGAATGACTTACCATTACCATAGGCCCAGTCATCGTTAAGACGATGCCTAACTTTTGCATAAATTACACTTATAGTTTTCATATTCGTTTTCCGCCATTGTCGTCCAAGATATTTAGTTTGCATTTTTAACAATTTTAGAACGTATAATTGCATCATAGCATGTCTTACTTTTAATGTACGTTTTAAAATGGGTGCTGATTTAAAAACCACTAGCATCTATGAATGAATGAAAATTAAATTTTTTTTAATTATATATTAATTATTAAAAATGTTACAAATATTTCTCTCTTTCTCTCTCTCTCTGTCTCTAACTTACCATAATTCTACTGTGTTTCCATTTGGTTAATTTATTCAAAATTCTTAATAAATTAATACATGAAAAAATATTACGCCAAGAATACGTTTGATTGTCCCCAATTTCAAGACTTTCAGGCGTTAGTTCTGGTTGATCGCCAATAACGCACATAGGAAAGTCCAAAAGAGGAATTCTGCAATGAATTTAAAGCAATTACAAAAAATAGTAAACAGATTTATAGAAAAAAATGATATTTAACTTACACATGTCTTGCTTCTATATACGATAGAATGTTTTGATTCAAAAACTTCAACACAAGAGGTATACAGTTAGCAAATACTAAATGTTGGGACATAAATTCAAATTGATATATATGATTCAATTTGAAATGTTTTAATAGAAGAAGTAAAATAGCAGAAACTGCTTTAACAATGATTTCTTTATGTCTATTAACATCGTTTCCTAATTTCATTGACTGCAAAACTGTCATTCTACAAAACAAAATTATTCAATTTATTGTAAAATTATAATTTATATTAATTACGTAAAACGTTATAAAAAAAATATTTAACATACGGCATTTCTTCTGGCAAAACATCGGCCATTATATTAATACTATCCGTCTTAGCTTTACTAGTTGGTGCAGCGGCAAGTAAAATTTTTAATAATGCAATCATGTACTGTGGAAGATTGGGTAATATGGCCTGATATAAAATTTCTGTTGGAGTTTGACGAAGAGGAGGTTCTGGAGTGCTCATTGGATTTCTAGCTATTTCTTCCTCCTCTTGAATTTGAACTTCAGCTAAAGATGTATACATATGCTAAAAATGTGTACGTATAATAATCAGTTCTTTAGATCTTACGTTACACAAAGAGAATGTTTAGCTTACTCTTTTAAGCGTGTTGACACCCTCATGTATTGGTTGGGGTAAACCAGCTAAACTCTCTCTATCTCCTTGTAATTTATAACCAACGAATTTAAGTCTGGACACTTCCAGGAACGTATCAACATCTTTCTGTCTTACTTTTGGTGTCCAAGGTAGACCTACAAGATAAAAATAAATATATTAAAAACAATCATTTTAAAAAATTAAATATTGACTATTGTAAAAGTTAATAATGTAGCTTATCTTTCCCTTTGTTCATCTGTGGAGTGTAAGGCCTTAATTGAGATTGATTATTTTGATCTTCATAGTAAGTTTGATTCCAACCAGGAATACCTGGTTGACTTATGAGGTTGACCATCTCTCCTTCACCTTCATTTGTCGCAGCATTATTTCCTGGTTCTCCACCCTCGTACTCCATACCTAAGCCTGGCTCGTCTAATGAACTTTGCTTCATTAAACTCTATAAAATATTTTATTTTATATAATCAAAGGTGAGATAAAATTTATATAATAATAGATAAGATAACAGAGACTAACCCGTCTAAGAGGTCTTTTATTACATTTCTGATTCTGCGTTTCTATTAAATCTGGTGCACTAGCAGGAGGAGAACTAGCCCTCATAGTTCTTGCTACTTCTATTGTATCTTCTTGTTCTGTATCAAGACCAGCTTCCTCTCTATATTTTTTCTTTAATTCTCTGAGCGTATCGATACCACCCAAAGAAACTAATATTAATTTCCATAAAAGTAAAAGAACTTTTTTTATAGGAAAATGGGGCGCAGATCCACTACAAAAACAAGTCACCATACCAAGAAGTTTTACGATAAGTAATTCCTCACCATATGGATTTACTGAAAGAAATAATCAAACTAATAATTGGTTTATTAGGAATTATATTTGTATCCTTTGATAATTACCAAGTTCCTCTTTAAAAGATTCAACATAATCTACATAAACACTGTACTCTTTACTTTTTATTTCTTCCCTCATAACTTCGGTGATGATATATAAAACAGACAGAATTATTCTCAAGTCAACAGAATCTGCAAGACTAACAGCTAACTTCCTCATAGCTAAGCTAGCAGTTGTACTGTTTCTAAAATGCATTTAGAAAAATATTTTAAAATACAATTTATAATTATTTTATTAAATATAAATTAAAACTTACTCAATTTCAATATTTAAAAGCTCTACAAATGCTGGAAAGACACCAGCTTCATAAAGCAACATAACATTTTTTCTTGTCCAGTCTTGCTGTTCTTTGTCAGATTGTACCTCGGCCCAACAGCCTTGAACTAAATATAAAATACAACGAGCAGCTTTCATCCTTAATTGTTTATTGGATACTTCCAACTGATCTAACAATTTATATACAACTGATTTTTTTTGAGATGCATCTAACTTTTGCCACCAAGGACATAGCTTATACCATTCCATTTGATCTTCAAATGCCTATAATACAAAGTAAACGATATATATATATATATATATATATATATATATATATATACATATATATATATACATATATATATATACTCAATTGTACAAACAATTGAATCTATATAATCTTACTTTGAGATTAAGTTGCAACTCGTATTGTTCAGTATAGCTATATAATTCAGCGATCTCATTGGCATGTGTATCAGCATCGTCATAAACAAAATCCAAATCTACACTTTTTGGTTCATCCTAAGGAGAAAGAAGAAAACTACATTGATAACGAAGGATTTTGGATCTTAATATTCTTTATCGTAACTTAAACAATCGGTATGATTTATTAAAAGAAAAGTTTATATATATATAAAAAAAATCTCAATAATATATATTTGAATTTAATGAAGATTATTAGGTTAAGAAAAAAAAAAAAAAAAAAAAGAAAAAAAAAAGAAAAAAAAATCAATATACTCGTGAATCATCATCCGTGATTTTCTGTCAACATAATGATCTTATAATTTTCGATTTGAAAAATTTATTTTACTTTACCTCACTTACATCTGGATCAACTTTTCGTCGGTAACCTACACGTGGAAAATCCCGCTTCCCATTTCCATTTGCATCCATCGGTACGTCACATAACATTTTGTGATAATGATTAGACTAAGAACGGGAAGAGAAACCGATGGACACATTTAAGGTAGACAATGTCTTATAGTATTTCCCGATTTTTCTATCAAAACCGTACGGACAGGCTCACGTTTGAGTATAGAAAAAAAAAAAAGAACTAATCCGGACAATGCATATTGCAAAAAAAAAGGAATTTATGATTTTCGAATCAAAGCAACAAACATTCCGTAGC